ACCAAGATACGTCAGCATCTTCTAAAAGTTCTTCCTTAAGATCGGGTCGATTAGAATACACAGTCTCCGTTGTTTCTATACAATCATGGGTTATGGGTTGATCCAGAGTTCCACTAAGGAAAGAAGCTGGATTTACGATGTTAATGACCACAATTCCCACATCATCTTGTTCTACTAATATTGCTTGATATTTTAAAATCATCAATTCTTGTTTAAGTTGTTTAAAGACTTTTTGTGCTTCTCCAGTCCAGACTAACTTTGACTGGTTAATTTTTATCAATTCACATAGAGGCTTTACCAATCGTCCATAATTATAAATCCAAAGGCGACACCAACCTGTCATTCCTAAAAAGGTTTGTAGCTCCTTTACCGTTTGAGGTTCTGGAGTCCCGCAAGTGACTTCCTTATGTTCAGTTCCTAGTTCTCGTTGTCCTCCCAAAATTTCAAATCCCAGATAGGTCACACTTTGTTGAGCCAGCTGGACTTTCTGTCAAGAGACTTGATATCCATTTTAAACCCAGAAAATTAAGAAAACTTATAGTCCATTGAATACAGCTCCCTTTAGTCTCGGTAGCTATTAAGAGATCACCTACATATTGTAACAAAGCACCTTCAGTGTCCGGAGGCATCCATGTTTCGAGTTCCCTTGCTAATTGGTTTCCAAAAATAGTGGGGCTATTCTTGAATCCTTGAGGTAGTAATGTCCACGTAAGCTGCGTCTTTCTGCCTGAATTGGGATTTTCCCATTCAAAGGCAAATAGGTTTTGGCTTTCTGTGGCTAAGCCTAAGCAGAAGAAGGCGTCTTTTAAATCCAGTACGGTAAACCAGACTTGACTATTCTTTAATTTAGTCGGCAAAGTATAAGGGTTTGCCACTACTGGATGTATATCCTCAGTGATTTTACTTATGGCCCTCAAATCCTGAACTAACCTATAGCTTTTTCCATCTGCCTTTTTAATTGGCAATATGGGTGTATTGTATTCTGATTCACATTCAATCAATAATCCATACTGTAAAAATTTATCAATTATCTCTTTAATTCCTTTCCTATCTTCTATCCTCAAAGGATATTACTTAACCTTAACGGGTTTCTCTCCTGGCTTTAATTTAATAATTATTAAGGTCACATTTTTGCTCTTCCAGGGACTTCGGTAGCCCAAACTCCTGGACATATTGATCTGTGATCTCTAAAGGTATTTCACTTTTAGGGTCAGTTTGTATTAGTGCCAAGCTTAACACATTTATTAGTTGTTCTTCTCCTATTCTTAATTTCATTTTCCCTTTTTCAACGACAATTTCTGCTCCTAATTGCTCTAATAAATCTCTACCTAAGAGTGCCCATGAGGAGTTAGGCGTATATAAAAATCTGTGTATGCCCCATTGTTTCCCTAACTTGTACTTCAAAGGTTCACAAAAATAAGCCTTTTCGGTTACACCTTGTCCTGGTTTCAGTTAGAATAGAGTTAATTTTTTTCCTAGTAGCTGGTAGAATGCTACGTTTTTGCTTAGGATGAGAAGAGTGCTGATAACACCCCGATGTTTTAATTGTTGCAGAGCAGTGCTTATACCAAGCCAAGGACATCTCAGCTTCTTGCTCTGTCCTGCCAACAGGCAGGCTGGGGGTGCAGTAAGAGCTGGGAAGGGACAGACCCAGGACAGGTGACCCAAACTAGCCAAAGGGGTATTCCATCCCATCTGACGTCATGCTAAACAATATATAGGAGTGGCTAGCCGGGGGAGGGGGCCGGACTGCTCGGGGTTAGGTTGGGCATCGGTCAGCGGGTGGTGAGCAATTGCATTGTGCATCACTTGTTTGTACACATTATTAGTAGTGGTACTATTATCATCATTGTATTATTACTATTATTATTATTATTATTTTGTCTTATTAAACTGTCTTTATCTCAACTCACGGGCTTCACTTTCCATTTCTCTCCCCCGTCTCAGAGAGGGAGGGGGAGGGTGAGCGAACGGCTGCGTGGTGTTTAGCTGCCAGCCGGGTCAAACCACAACACACCTTTTACCCTAACATAATAATTCTGTGAAGGCATTAATGCTTGATTTAGAACTGAATACATTGCCCCATATCAATAAGAAATTTCACTTCCATTCCTCCCCTAGCTTCATTATAATCAGTGGAGGATCCGCTAGGGTAGATTCCCCAGGTCCCCGTTATTCCTGTTGAAATCAGGGACCAATGATTACCCTAGAAAAAGGCTAGTCAATTTGTCCTCCGAAGCCAGGTCCAAACCGTTTTGTTTTATTTATTTATTTATTTATTTTCATTACATTTCAGAGTTGGTCCAAAAATTCCATAGGGGTTTCTTTTAGACCTTGTTGGAAGCATATTCTCAATTCCCAATTCATCCAGATTTTAGTATTTACTTAGCCGTTCATAATTTTAGGGATGATTAGGGTCTCAGTGGGGTCGGTCAGGGGAATGCAGTTGTCCACAGTTCCCTGAGCGGTCCCATCGGTAATCTGAGCTCGCACATGAACTCAGGTTGTTTTAAGAGTTAACTGTTTTTCTGTTTCCATAACAACTCTCTCTCGGACCCATCATGATCCATTTGCCCCAAAGGGCTAACACCCATGATTTTAAGATCTCTGCCTAGAGCAGAGGCAGAACTATTAACATTCCTACATCCTCTTTCCCTGCTCATTCAACTTCAAACACCTTTAACACTTTCAACAACCCTTTTAACACTTCCTTTATCTTTCTCCAGCCTGTACTTCTCTAATGCCAACATCAAAGGCTCAGTCAGGGGCCAACTTAATTCCGTACCTTTTCCCACCAAGATGCTGAAACAACATCAGTATACAACATTTCATCCTATTCTCCTTCTCAAAACCAACATTAACTGTAGCAAAACATTAGAGTTTAAAGTTCCATTTAGGGGCCACTTTTCTCCACATTCCAGCTTATAAAGCGGCCACCATTGATTACAATATTTTATCAATGTTTTCCTGTTCACACTTCCACCGGCAGATCCTCCAATATCCTTCCAGTGACTCAAAACACATCCTAACGCACTTTTCTTAGGAATTTCAGTGCTTACTCGCCCCCCCATTTTCCAGTTTACACTTTCAGAATACACGTGTTACTTACAAAAGCGTATCACAAAAACGTATCACTCACAAAATTACAGGCACGCAATATCTTTCAGTAGCGATGTCACAAAGCTACTATTACCAGCAATATTGCTAAAATCACAATAACAATAGTCAGAGTCAAATTCCACATGCGATAAGTCAGAAAACCGAACTGTGTAACACCATAACGATATCTTTCTTATAACAATGCCACGAACCTACTATTACCACCAGAAAAATAGCCAAAATCACAGTAACAATAACCAGAGTTAAATACCATACTCCATGAGTCAGAAAACCGAAATAAACAACACAATTCCAGATGGACCTTAAAGCGAGCTCTTTCCTTAAGGTCCCCAAATATACTTATGGTGCTTACCACAAAGTATATACCAAACACTGCCTCGCAGAAGATCACCTTCTGACTTACAGACAGTTCCAGATACAGATGGACCTCAAGGTCCCCAAATATACTTGTGGTACTAACCACAAAGTATATACCAAACACTGTCCTGCAGAAGTCACCTTCCGACTTACTGGACAGTCCCAGACGACCGGTCTACCAGAAAACCAAACCAGAATAAAGAATATACTCACTTACAATGATGGGGTCCTTGTCTGCCTCCACAGTGATCCGGTGAGTCGAGGAGTCCCTCCGGGAAATCCCGGGGGTACCCTAGGGAGTCCTGTCCCCAGCGGGTCCTGCGGACCGGCAGAGAGGTCGTCCCATCTGGGTCGCCAGATTGATTCAAAGATCGAAGCCGAAATTCCTTTAAGTGGTATATTCTTTATTGCAGCGCTGGATGCACGGGGGATCTCTCCACCTATCGTGCATACCCAAAGCGGAAAGCAGTCTTGAATTTATACAATCAATCTATCAATATTCTACAAGCGCCTATACATATGCATTACCTATCCCCGCCTTCCCTCGCTTCTCATGCTAATTAGCCTTTTGGCACCTTGCGCCTGCGTAGAGCCTCCCAAGAATTGTGGGCAGGGGTCTTTGGGACGTGGGCAGGGGTCTTTGGGAGGAAGACCCCGAGTCTTCCTCACAGTGTACTTTTCACCTTTGGTCAGGAATCTGCTGAATTGGCACGTTTCTTAATTGCGAGAGCTGGGTGTTGCCAATTCTTCCGTTTGTTGTATCTTTATAATGAATTCCAATGTCCAATTTTGAGATTTATAGTCCTTACATTTGTTTCTCTGTCCGTCTGCCGCTTCCTTATCATGAGTTCCAGTGTCTTGTTTCGAGATATACAGTCCATGTCTGGGGATTGTCCTTGCCTCCCCAATGCCTCCCCAATACCTCCTTAATCACTGGAGTAAGTAAATGATCAATAATGATATCATTACCATCAATTTCTGTTGTCTTTTAAAGGTTATTAAAAATACAATGGTAGCACTGAACAGGACAGTCTTAACCCAGGGAAGTACTAAAGACACGCGCGGCGAACAAACTGAATTAAAGAACATGTGGGAAAGTGCAGGTATTTATTTAAGACGTTTATTTAAGACATCAGCGCGTCCCCACACCGGCCCTTCAGCTTTGGCACCAGGGGGCCAGCACACCCCTTGGAGCAGCCCCACACACACGCAGCAACGCTTGTAAACTTCAAGACAGGCGACAGAGATCCGCCGGCGGCCGGGGCAGCCCTCACGGGCCGGGCTCAGCCCCGGGACCGAGCCGGGCCGGGCCCCGCTCCCCTCAGCGCCTCGCTGCTCGCCGCCTCCTAGAGCGGCGCGCGCCGCCCCGCCGGCGCTTCCGGCCTCTCTGCAACCGCCCTCATCTATCGTTGGTCCTCCGGGCTGTGGCGGCTGCACCGGGCCTGAGGGGACGGGGGCGGGGGGGCGCTCGGTGGCGGCCCCGGTGCTCGGCCGTGAAGGGTGGGGGGGCGTTGCGGCGGGGCCGGTCCTGAAGAGAAACGGCCTCCCGCCCTGCCGGGAGCCCCCGGGCAGCCCCGCCTCCCCCCGGGGGCGAAGGGGCCATGGCGGAGGCGGGGGGGGCGGCCGGGAGCCCCCCGGCGGGGCCGGGCTGCGGCGTGCAGGTGGTGCGTGGGGCTGGGGGGGCTCCGGGCCTTCATCGGGGTGTCGGGAGGGCTGAAGGCAGAGGGAAGGGTTGGGAGGGGCTGTGGGGGAAGGCAGAGGGGTGGGTGTGCAGGGGCAGTGGGATGGGTTTGGAGGGGCTGTGAGGGGAAGCAGCCTCGAGACCTGGTTGGCCTCAGGGAGTGAGGCTCTGGGCACGTTTGGTTACCTGGGTTTGAAAAGAGAGCCGTAAAACTCCTACAGAGCTCTTTCTTCTCCCTTGAAGGTTTTGTTTTTAATTAATTTTTCTTTAGCAAATATATACACGTACCCAAACGTATACAAGTACCGCAGATACAGTTTGGCCGCAATTTATATTTAGGTTTAGCGAGGCAAACATACTGGTCCTGAAAAAAAGCAAAATAACACAGATTATTAGGCAAGTGAAAATGAAGAACTTCACAGAATCTCAAAGCCTAAAAGCAGGTCAAAGCTTATGTCCTAAAAGTCATCCTGGGTTCATTTAAAGTATCCCATGTATGAGGTTTGACAAAACCAGCAGATTTCTGCCAACAACCCTGAGTTTTTAAAGGGTTTGGAATCCTAATATGAAAACCATCATTTAAGAGTAACAGTTTCTGACTTCTGTAAAATCTTCAGTGGTGTTAAAATGATTAAAAAAAAAAATATTTTCCACATTCACATACGGAGATTGGTAGGAGCCAATGTGAACTGGAATTTGCTGAAGCTGAAAATAACATTTCACTTTGGGGTTGTTTATGGTGTATGCCCTCAATAGAGGAGGTAACACTAGAAACAAGAGGTTTCTTGGGTGTAAAAGTGAGTTGCACAGTTTCTGTAATTTTTTTTTTTTTTTTAACTCACATGTCTCCAACCTTGTGATTGTTGTATTGTTTTTCAGTAGCGTAGCTGAGGGAAGAGTTATGTTGTTGAGTAATATATTTGTAGAAGAAACAGGGTTGAAGTATCTGCTAATCAGTTAGCATTCTGTCATTTTTCCATACATCAAAACTCACTTAGCAGAGCAGCCATGAATCATCTTCAGCTTAGTCAGAGCAAAACGACTTCACTGAAACCACCTAAAATCACTTCAGGCCTTATTCTAGAACTTTGAAGTCCAGAGGAAATCAGGTAATGTCACAATGCTCCAATCCAGATCAGATCATAATGCTGTATTCTAACTGTTGTGCTTGGCCATTAGGCCATGAAATGCTCCTCTGCTGGATTTCGCTATAAGTCAGTCTCAGGTAATAAAAGAATAATTCGGACTCAGTTGTCACTCGGTTGACCCTGTAATGACAAAAACACATTAGTTATGTGCAGTTTATTTAAAGGAGCATTATGTGTATTTGTCGTTCTCTGTTGTGGTGACAGTTTTAAAATATAAAAATGCTGCAAAGAGAACTCAAACAATAACCTGTGCTGTGAGTGGGCAGTGGTAGTTAGCATCAACTGAGCAAAAGGCTTTAAGACATTAGGAAAACTGTGTTCCAGGTCTCCCTTAGGGACCTGCTTTTAGAGATTGCTGTAGCAAGGCTGGTGTTTCTCACTGGAGACTGTGATTTGTCAGCAGTGACAGAGCTGTAGTTGGTTTTGTCCTGGGACTGAACATCAAGGCAGGATCTCTTCAGGCTACTACCAGATGACTTTTTTTCTACAAATCTGCACCCATACATGAAATATTGTGCCCACGTTCACGTTTTTCCCTTTTTAAATGAACCATGGAGACTGGAGTGCTTTGGTACAGTCACACAATGGTAAAAGTCAGTTTATAGGTACCCAGCTCGGGGCAAGTGCCAACTACAGCTTTTAAGCCTGGCTACAAATGTACAAATGAACTAGAGAGAAGTGAAAAGTTAACCTCTGTGGTGTATTTCTCTTTGGTCTAAAAACAAAACAAGAAAAAAAACACAAATGCAGAAGAACAGTAAACTAAGAACAGGAGAACCCAAGGAATTTCTTTGCTACCGTGTGTTAGTAGTACTCAGGCATTTTAATCATATTGCTGTGTGCAGTTATTTGTATGGATTTGTTAATTTTTCAAGTTTTATGTGGAAGCATCAGCAATTCAGTGCTGTACCATATTTTGACAGGCATGTAGCTTTCCGTTGCTGTGACAGTTGTGTGAAAGTAGAACTTGCTCACAGGAAAATGTTCAAGAGCATGCTAATCTGTTATTAGTTGCTCTGTTGAGATCAGAGTTAGTGACCTCTGGATTGCTTCTATCTGTGCTGCCGTTGAAGTACTGCTTTTACTGTTTTCAGTTCAAGCTGAGCAGAAAAGTCCTTGAATGATGATTTGCGCTGCCGCTCTGACTGAAAACAGGAGCTCACTATGGAAAAAAAGTAAATAAGTTCCAGTTTTACAGTTTTCAAACCAATGTCAAGCCAGTTTGTGACGGTATAGTCAAAATCGTACTGAGTTAGGTAAAATAAAAATAAAAAGAAAAAGAAAAAAAAAAAGATGAAGAATGAGTGACTATTCTGGATGTCCAAAACTGCATTGGAAAAAATGGAGAATGCTCTTCTTTCTGAATGAATATGTTAGATTGATTAGCATGAACATTTAGGGGCTTATTTTAATTGCAATCTAAGCGTAAGGGATATTAAAATCCTGAGCAATTTGGATATATTGGTTTAGGATCTCAGGCCTGCTTAGTTTTTGAAGTCTAAATGCACTATTGAGCCATACTTATGAAATAATCTTTTTTTTTTTCTTTGTTGTATTTTTTTGTATTCAACTTGACTTTTTTTTTTTTTTTTTTTTTTTTTTTACTTTGTCCTTATTTTACTTGCTTATCTCTCTACAACAGGTCAAAGACTTTCTTTGCTTAAAAATGTAGATACCTTTGCCTCTACTCGTTTTAAATACCCCTTTTTCCTGTCACAACATCCTGCCAAAAATCAGGATGTTCATTCATTTTAGACCAGTATATATATATTTTTATTTTGCTGTGCAATGCTGTTAAGCTTTTTATTTGTTAGTCATTGTTACTGTACATTGTACTCTGCGGTATCTGAGTGTACATATATTGTACTGTGTATAAGGAAAAAAAAAAAAAGAAAAAAAACAGTATGCACAATAGCTCCTAATGTGTGCATTTGTGTGTGTTTGCCAGATCTGTAACAAGTCCATTTCAGTGCTCTTCTGGTAGCTTCTCAAGATTTTCACGTGCTCACAGTAGGAACTAATCGTCTGGTTCTTCCAAGTGTGTGTTTATGGTTACACCACATGATAAGGACTTAGAGTTCTGTTTCTAGGAACTTCTTAAAATGTCCTGTGAAGCTTTTTACAAGTTACTTGGGCTCTTTGTCTTAAATTCCCCATCTGTTATAAGGCACCTTAGCAGGTACTGATTTGGCCTCCCCCTTTACGGACATTGCCAGTGTACTGTTACTGCGGCAAATATCCTAGGACTGGCATGCTGTGAATGGAAGGTATTCTTTTTCGAGATATAGGAACAATTTTTGGGGTTAAAAATGAGAATACTGATGAGTACTTAAACAGAGAAATCCCTCATCTGCGATTTCTAACCAATTTTAAAATGAAGATTTCAGATAAGTTTTCACACAATGCTTATGGGGCTGAAACAACAGAGGCTATAGGAGGAAAGCCTGTAATTGAAATGAGAGACTAAGGAACTATGTCATAAGTCATCTTCTAATGTGTTTGATATCAATTTTAGATAAAACCATTTAAAAAACTTGTCTAGAGTCCAAGGATTCAGGCTGCACATACAACATCTCCAGTTAGGTAATAAGTCAGAAGAAAAATTGATGAGTAAGATCTATTAATGGAAGATAGAAGCAAAGAGTGTCTTACGAAATGCAGGAATACTAGAAGCAAGTTAGTGTTGTGTTATCGATGGCTTGTTAGCATTTTTCGTTCAGTAGTCTCTTGTTTCCTTGGAGATCTACCAAAAGTAGAACTCAGAAAATGTGAAGTTTGAGAGAGGTGAAAGCAAATCGTGTATTTAAAATGAAAATAAAGGTACCTTGCCTACTTCCATATTCTTGTGATCCCTTTTTGGTGAAAGTTAGTTTCAGAAAGATCTGGCACTTCTCTTTTTTTAATGAATATTCTTGTAGTGTAAGGACAAAAAATAGTGTTACTGACTTTTTCTTTTTTTTTGTAGTCTGTCATTGTGCCTGTTCACAATAGTGAATGCTGGTTAGATGAGTGCCTGAAGTCTGTCTGGGAACAAGATTTTAAACAAACGATGGAGCTGTCAGTTTTTAATGATGCCAGCAAGGTATGTTTCAGACTTTATTGAAAATGCTGTCCAAGTCAATACTGTCTCTGATAGAAATTTTTATTTGGGCTGTTTGGTTCACCACACAAAATAGAATAGCTGCACCTCTGTCATCATTTTTCTAGGACAGTTCAGCTGAGATCATTGCAAAATGGAAGATGAAGTTGGAAGATGCTGGTGTTCCAGTAATCATCGGTAGCAATAATTCATCTCAACCTCGAGGAGGTATGTAACTTAATAGTGATTTTTTTTTTTTAAAGAGTTAGGTTGCTATGATAGACAACACTGTTTTACTTTGAGAAGTGTCTTAGTAGCCACTTGCATTGCAATGGAAAAAAAAAAAAACACATTGGACGCGGAGGTCTGGAAAACAAAAACTCATTCCAATTTAGAATTTGGCCCTGTTGTTTTTGGCTCCATAAGATTTGTTTATATGGCCAGGAAAGAAGAACTTGGCTTGATACTTATTCTCTACTCAGCAAAAGAATTTTGTTTAATTGAAGTGTACACAATGTTGTTAATGCTTACAATTTTACTGTGGCTTTCTGATATCTGATTTATCTTCAGAAGATATGTCTTAAGAAAAAAGAAATACAAGATTTCTTACATAATCATTTAAAAATCATTTAAGTGCTTGTCAGGATTGTAGAGCAGACCCTGAAAATGTGAAATAAAGACTAACAAGCAAAATTATGTGAAAAGGTTTATTTTCCTCCTGAATCTCAGTCTTGCTTCTCAGTCACTTGAACGATTTCCCCCTTTCCCAAGATACATTCCTTGGAGTAAAGTCCAACTTTATAAACAATGCAATTTAATTAAAAGTCACAGATTATTATTTTTATTTTTTACTTATTAATGGCTGTGGAAAAACTTGGCCATGTTCTGTAATGTGGAGATTGCAGGTTTCTTAATGCTGCCATTGCAAAACTCTACAGATTTAAAACAGTTAAATTTGTGGTCCAAGCCAAATGGAGAGGTGGTTCTGGGGTTTTGCAATTGGGCTGTAAATAACAATCATGTTGAATTATGAAGTACTTTGCTGCAGGATGAAGATGCAGATGGTGGGATATGAACTGTAAAACTTCTATGTTTTTAATTTTAATCTCACTCTTTTTGTCAGAAGTGGAGGAAAAGCCAGTGTTTGCTTTTGTTGAAGGGTCAGAGGCCTGGAGTGAAATGGAAAATGCATTTTTGATACCACTTTGATCAGATCAAAACAGAGCTTTAAAACAAGTTTTGATGTGGGAGCTAAAAACTCACACTAAAACTCCTTGGTATTTACACAAGAGGCTAAACCAATATGTGCAGTGAGCTACCTGACAGATCCGTAGTGGGATTCCCTATTGATTTACATGCTACTGTAAATTGCATTTAGCCACTGGAAGAGATAACAAACAAATATCGCTATCATTTTTTCTTCTTTTTGGTTTGTTTTATGTTTGGGCTTTTTTTTAAGCAGACAAGCTTGCTAAAATGTAAAATAGAAATGAAAGTATGTTGCTCTTTGAAGAAGCAGATGTTGAGTGGCATTAAAGTTGGAGGATCACGACTGTGTTCTGAAGATCAATAAGAGGACGAAGCAAACAGAACACTGCTCATATTTTTATGAGAGCTGTAAATAGAATATTTCTGTCATTCTAGGTTTTGTGACAATGAGTAGCCAGGTAGGAATTAATATAAAATTTCATCAAAATTTGTGTCTTTCAAGATAATCTAAATTAAAAGACACATTGTGGAAACACTGTAACACAACATCTGGTAAGCTTGTTTTTTTTTAACACAATATCCTGTTTGTAACTGAAAAGAAACCCAGATTTATAGACCAGTCAAATTGGTCTTACTATGGAAAAGCCCAGTTCTGTTTCAGAAGGCTTAATTTTCATCCCATTGTTGAAACACAAATAACTACGAGTTTCTGAACTGAATTCATCTGTGACTTGGTGTAGGCCCCTGGCTTTATTTGCTTTCATTTCCTTTGACTATAGACTTCTTTAAAGCATTTTTTTTTTTTAACAGTCATCAGACCTAGCAGTACTGAAGTATAGCAACATATCTGTTACCATAAGTAATTTTAATGTTTTAACCTTTCTAGCGTGATCTGTTGTTGTTTTGACAGTGCAGCTTGTAATATTAGCACTGTTGAGCTGGTGATGAGACAAGGTTGGTAGAGCAAATACTTTTTGGGCAACTGATATGCTGGAGTTAAACAATATAAAGAATTTCTTGTATTCCAGGAAACTTATTTATTTTCCTTTTTTTCCACCTTAACTACTGGGTGATCTGTCTTCTTTAAAATCTTACCTCTTTTAGTAGCTGATGATCTAAAAAGCTAAAGAGGTTGTGATTTATTGTTAATGCCATCTTGTTATATAGTTTCCATTTTAATAAAATATTTCCTATGTATAAAGTCTTGCTCCAAATAGACTTGTATTAATGGCATGTGTAAACTAGTTGTAGTTTGCAAGAACACAGGTGCAAGGTTTTGACGATAATTTATGGTAATACTCCAAAGTCAGTTCACCTTTGCACTCTAGGAAACTGAAACTAAGTTTGAGTTGTGAACTCCAATGAGTATCTTGTGCCATTAAAGAGAGATGTCAGATTAATTTTTGTTTTAACATGTATTTGCCAGTGTTAGGATAGCTGAAACCTGAACAAATCTTTAAGAAATTGTTGGAAAGGGGCACAGCTGTGAGCATTGTTTTAAATAATAGTATGAAATGCATAGTTTTTTTTTTTTTTTAAATAAAAAAAGCTTATTCATGTGGAAGTCACTCTCAGGTCACCATTAAAATGAGGACATCTTTTCTTCATGGTTGTTACATTTTAGGAGCAGGTTACTTGAAATCCATAGTATTTGTTTGCTTTCAGTGATTTACTTTTATTATGTTAAGGACTAGTTACAACTGTAAGGAGTCTTTCCTTTAATAGAAGATGCTTTAGTACAGAAACAATGTACTAGTCAGGCTTCACATCTTCAACTATTTACACAAGATTAGGATTTATTTCTGATTCTTTTCTAACATGTAAAAGAAAGGGGGGGACCTAGAAAAAAAGAAAGGGTCACGCCTAAAAAAAGGAAACCTTTTTCTTTCCAAGAGTAAGGAATGTTAATATCTCACTGAGGCTTAAGTTTTTACGGTTGTAACCATGGTAACAGGCTCTTTTCACCAAGTAAGCAGGCCTTACAAAACTCAGAGACCTGGCACAAACATTTGATTTTCTTCAGTAGAGTAATATTAAAGAAATTCTTTAACTCATGCCAAACATAGGATTCATTGTGGTGAAAACTTTTTAATATTTAGTTTCTTCTACAGGGAATTATATCTCATTTTAATAGTTTTTTAAATATGCATATTATCTATTTAAAAAAAAAAAAACTAGCATAAGAAAAGCTTCAGGATGGTTTCTGTCTTAATCTTAATAAATATTTTCCAACTCTTTTTCAGAATGAATATTTAATACTTCAGATTTTTTTTTAAGTGTTTCTATTTGAAAACAAGATCTGAGGTATTTCAGAAAGTTCATGTAGTAATATTACTGTCGTCTTGTAGTTGTCTTTGAATCTGCTTCACTTTTTTCTTCATTATTTCCTTGGACTTCGTTAGTTTATACTGAAGATGGTTGAAATGTTGGAGTGTATACTAATGGCAGGATTGAAATGTAAATACAGGCTGCTTTACAGCTGGTAATGGTATATCTGAGTATTGATTTGATTGATGTTGGGTCAAATTTTGTTCTATCCTGTACTTTTTCCTCTTTCTTTAGTAGGGACCTCTGCAGTATTAGGGTTTTTCTTGTTTGGCATGTTCAGACCTGCTAACTTGCATCAGTTGTTTCCTACTAGAATCACTCATGCCAGGATCCAGCTCTGCTGTTGTGTGAAGTACTGACTTTGCCAGCTGCATTTTTACTGCCAAAAGAAAAAGAGAATGAGAGTAACTGTATATATGAGATTAGATATTCATACATGTATAAAAAGTTGTATGTAAATATGCTTTAAGGTAATAAATCTAAGAAATCTATGGAGAAGTTAAGGTAACTCAAAGACACCCACGAAGTGAGAATTAAAATACTTGAAATACATAAGAATAAAACAGTTACAAGGAAGAGCCTTTATCAGTACTGTTGCTTTGGCAGTTGATCTAATGTTCCTTTGAGGCAGTAAGAAATGCAGTCATAAGTCTTTTTCTTTACTTGGACAACTTAGCAAGATAGCCAAGGAGCAAGTGTATTAAACTAAGTGAACCTTTGAGCCCAGTTAAATTTGTTTCCTGAGCAAACTTAAACATGGATCTCACAAAAAGAACAGAGAAAGCTTTTGAATTTTTTGAAATGCCAAATCAGGAACTTAAGGAATAATATTTAAAACTACCTGACTCCAAATCATGGTGAGACATGGCTTTATCTTTCCAATTTTCCCTTTAAAGAATAATAAAAATCAACTCAACAGTGTTAAATATCATTGCATCACATGGTTAGCAAGCATATCAGAGCAATCTTGAGCTGGATTCTCTGAGTGAGTTTCAGAAATAGTTTAAATAAAGCTTAAATGATTATGTATATATATAAAACCAAATAGAATTTCTATAGGGTTTTTCAGAATAATATGATATAGCATGGTCTTTTCTTGTAATGCTGTCTGTAACAAGAATTCAAAGACCAGAATGTACTTGGGCCTTGTTTACATATAAAAAGTGATCCCAGGTAAACCAGCTCATACTTCTTGTATGTGTTTCCATTTCTGAACTTACCTCGCTGCTGGTTGCTGCAGTTCCTTCCTTACCTTTGGTCGTGCATTCCTGCTCCCCTCCTTTTTTTTTTTTTTTTTTTTTTTTTGCTTTGTTGCTCATTTGACCCTTCAGTGCTGTCCAGTGCTGCTTCAGAAATTAAGCTGACTAAAAAGTTTTCTTCTAGTTCAACTTCCTGAAATGGCATGGTAGAAAAGCCTGGATTGTCATCTGACTGAATTTATATTTTAGGGTTGTCTTCCAGAGATGGTATAACATGTTATTGTATAAATAAGGCAAATTTGTGCTTTTTGGACATGTACTCTCCTCCTTGCATAACATTGATTTTTCTCTAACTTCCTAATGAGACTTTTTTTGTTTTAATGTTTCTGTGTTTTAAAGACAGGTGAAATTTTTGTATTTGCATCCTTTGTATTTAACATGCAAAATGGAACAGAACTGTTTTTGTGTACTGAGGACTTGGCCCCCAGGTAGGGAGAACAAGTTGACTAGCAGTCTCTTGTGCTTTCTTTTATGATTAGTATTATTTTTTTTTTAATTCAGAATTTGTTGCTATTTGTTACGATTAAAGAGATGAATATGTATATGCAGCCAAGGTTTTTCATCATCTGGATGTGTACTGGATGTGAGGCCTAGGTAGCTGGACTCTTCAAGGTTTATATTATGTATTATATCTTTGGGGAGGGGTAGTAAAAGTTCAGTTCTGCTTGGTGGTAGAATTTTGACATGTACATCTGATTAACCACACAGAATAATACTGAAATGAACATACAATTTAAATATTTAAAAGTTACCTGGTTTAAAATATGGAAAAATCCGTATTTTGCTTGGTACTGATTTTTATACTTTCTTTCGTCTGTTCCTAACTGCAGTAAGCTTAAAATTTCAAAGTTTAAAGCTACTATATAATTTTATCTTTATTTTCTCAACAGTTGGATTTGCTAAAAATCAAGCAGTAATACAGAGCTCGGGAGCCTATCTTTGCTTTCTGGATTCAGTAAGTTGATACATCATGCTTGACTCAGTTTTGTCTGAAAGATTGTCTCATCATTTTTGATGTCATGGTTGGTTTGCCTTAAAGACAAGCTCTTTAAAGGTGGTTGGGTGTTAAACATGGTGGTTACTATTTATAGCCCTAAAGTTGCCTTCCAACCTGTAGCATGTCCACAGCCTCATACCATTCTTTGATCCTATAGATTTCACAAGCGGTTGCGAGCAGAGTTAAGCAGAGTTGCTGTTTAGCTGTTTTTAGAATTTTTGCTTTCCCACATGCTTCAGAAAATGATACAGATGAGAAACTAAGAGCTAATCTACTGGCTTTTTAATGCAAAATAGGAGATGTCTCATCTCCCATCTTGCTTTTTTTTTTCTTTATCCTTTGTTGTATACCTTCTGTGAACCCATTCAGCTCGCTAACCCACAGATAGCTATCTGACTTTATACAGCTTAATATGCAGTGAAGTGTTTCACAAATGTGCATAGCTGATCTGAGGAATGGTGCCATGTGGCTAGGATCAGGCAAAAAGAGCAAGACCTTTAAGGCTCACTGATCTTGTGTAATTTCACCTGAAGATTGATACTTTCCTCTGAATTGGCTATGGTTTAGTGTAGTACTAGGAGGAAATGGCTGCAGGAGGTGTAGGCTTTCAGGTAGGGTACAAGTTAACATTATGATTGTCTGTGCTCATTAGAAAGTGGCGTGATCTTTTTCATGAGAGTAGGGAGGTGAACTCTACAGCCTTATAATCACACAGCTTTCACTTTGGATGTTCTTTCAGTTTGCAAACTCTATTTGTTGTACCAGCTATGCAGATTTTTTTTTTCCCAACAGTGTACTGTTGCAAGACCCAAGGCAATTTGGCATATGTTGCTGTTGGCTTTACTGGCCTTTATTCTTGCTGTTATTAAATTATAAAGTATATATCAACACTTTGCCTTTTTAAAAGAGTATATTTGAATTTATCTTAGCTTCCTGTTAGTGATTTTTTTTACAGAATATGTTTACATAAATCTTTGTGTACAAGTTTAAGGAGGGTGAAGCTTTGAAATGCAGTATCCAATATGCATATGTATAAAATGGTATGTCAGAAAACAAAATTTGAGCATTCATTGGACACATGGAACTCACAATCACACATACAAATTAATGGGTGTTTGGACAGGTCAGCTTCTTACACGTCAAAGAAAAGTACTTCATATTCAGCACTGAGTGTCAGTGTCTGTTTCATAAACAGGTTGTTTTGAGGAAGTATGAGCATGAAATCCACTGCTCTGTTTTTGATCCCCTGATTCATCAGATTGTAAGAGCATGTGAGTCTTACAAATTGTGCCATGAAGTAGTTGAAGTGATAGCAGTTTTGTTAATACAAATATACCTGGGATCCAGTTCTTTTTGTTTGTCTTCAGGTAGACACAGATGCCAGGGCCAGTTAAATTTACGTGAATGATTCTATGGATTTAACTCTACTACATTGTGAGTCAGTGAAACTACTTACATATATAAGTGAGAAAGAAATACATATTAAAATTTTGTAAAGGTCAGGTGTTCCAGGCTTGGATAAATACTACATTGTATGGGGTATTACAGGAAATACATGAGATGAGTTGTGTACATACTTATGTTTACTGAAGTTAGCTGGAGTCCACATAAGCATGAGTGAGAAATTAACATACTGTTGTATTGTCCCTTGGAGCTTCACATCTCCTGTCTCAGATCTGTATAAAATAATTTACAGAGGTAAGTCTTTCAATCCAGACAGATGTAGTTGTTTGCAAGTTAATATTTCTCTAGAGATATCTTCAGAATTCTTAATTTATTTGCTTTATGGAGTTTATGAGCTATGCTTCTTTGTGCTGCTGTGTTCTGTTTGCTGACTGTTCTATTTGCTGTGCAGATGAGAAAACAAATTACAACTACTATGAAATCAGTGGTGGTTTTGCATTTCTGCAAGATTATTATTAGCATAAGTCAATGTTTCATATAATTAGGACCTAGTCAAAGTGCTATGATTGAGAATTTTATGACTTCCAGTATGGATAAGTTTGGAAGAAGCTAACAAGGCTTTCTGTTCTACACATTTCTGTTCCTGCTATTGAGCTACATGCTGTAGAACAGTCATTCTGATCTAGCAGAAGCCTAATCTTGGTACAAAGAAATGCTAAATGATTGGCATTACTTAAGTGTATTTTCTACCATCTCCCCTTGTGGCTACCATTGTTTGCTGAAAACAGATTGGAGGAAATAAAAATGAATGTGGAAACTGCTGCAAGTCTAAAAATTGCTCAATATTTTGGCCATAGTTAGTAAATGCTGTGTGATAATAGCTGCAACACAGATGTTGCCAGCTGTTTAATAGCTCTGCTTCTACACACCACCTACCTTCTTCGTTTCAGTCACCAATCCAGTGTCAGGCTCTATAGGAAGGAATGCTGATATCAGCCGTTTGGAATGTGCTGCAGTAATGCCAAGGAATTGACCTTCAGATGTGCAGGCATAATTGAAGCTTTGCTAGAGGTGGATGGAGAGAGAAATGGGGCTGTGTCAATAGCTTGTATACATTTCATATAGGTGGAGAAAAGTGTTGTGGCTCCTCATATGTTCATTTCACTTACGCATCTTTGGGAGTATTAGTCCCGAAGAGACTGTTTTGCTTGCCATTCCAGCTGGAGTCAAGCTGCTTGTGTTATGTCTCTCAACACAGATTTGCGAGGACAACAAATTGGGAAGAAATGTGGAGGGAAAAAAAAAAAAAAGGTTACAGAGCTCAGAACTGTCAGAATTTGATCAGCCTATTCTAGTATGAAGTGGCAGCTGTTTGACTAATAGCTATTATGGAGTTTCTTTGCTCTAGCTGTTGTTACAGATTTCACCTCTAAGCTACTGAGGCATTTTTCCCACCAGCAAAAGCAGAAAATGTGAAGATACTTAACAAATTGTTCTTATTGTACTCCCAGAAAAATCTTGGTCATAATGACATCAGAGTTCACTAATTATGCTAATGTATTTCACAGTTACTTTCCTCCTTTTCAAATTGTCTGTAGTTACTTTATCTACCAGTTGCGTTTTATTGTGATTTTAGCTTGTCAGCTCTCCGGGGTGGTTGCCATCTTTGTTATAATCATTTACCCAGATTTAGCACAGGAGAGGTGTAATACTGAAAATACTTTTCTTTTTTTTTTCTTTGAAGTGCTATTTTCTTTGACACTTACCAAACATCCTTCTATAAAACTGCATTTCTTTAAAAAGGAATGTGCTTGCGTTCCATCCTAAGAATCTGTGTAGTTTCCCATTATTTCAGGTTTAATCAAGGTGGTTTTGGAGGTTATATAAATATATAGGTAAATATATAGAAATATAAAATCGTGTCCTTTGTTTGACCTGCAATATTTCCAGCCCAGTCATATTTACTTGAGTCCTTGACCCATTTGTTTTAGTCCTTTGAAAGGCTCTGTTGGCAATATATTGCTGTTTGCAAGATTCTTACTTAGCCAGTTAAGAGTTGGCTGTGCCGTGCTGTCCCAGCACAGGGAAGCAGCTGAGCTTTATTCACCAAATCGAGGATGGACCATCAGAGTCAGCACTCTGCTGTTTGAATTGGCAGCTGCCGACCTGTGCTTTCGCATTTGTAAGATTTGCTTTTAGGATTTCAGTTGCAGAATGTCAGTGTTGCTGTCAAATGGTGCATGAGCTTGTCTTGAATTTCAGGTTCAAAAACACTTCAGTGAGGGGAGTTCTTAAAGGTCTCAGGAGAAGGTGGTTGGGCCTCAGCTAGCTGCTTGGTGTGTTTCAGGAACTCCAGCCTTCAAGCTAGTTCTCAGTTATTAAAATAGCTGCTTGGTTACATAGGCTCCTTCACTTGCTGGTTTTGGAAGTTGGTGTTTTAAGTTACTTTGCAGGCGTTAATAACCTTTTGAAATACTTTCATGGAAATTACCGTTTGTATAGCCTAAAAAATGCAGCAGCGATCAGACTTCATGTATTTGCTTTTTTATTGTTGTTGTGACATAATACTCCTTGCAAATTTGATCCTCAGTTTAAAAACTGAGAAAACTCAATCAGCAGGTGAATGGATGTAGTGATGAACTCCATTCCCAGAAGCTCCCTCTTCCCTGAAGAGTTGTACCTTTTTTCTGAATCACTAAGGAGAACAAAAATATTAAAAAATAAAAAAATAAAAAAAAATTGTGCGTGGGGGAGAGTGGAGGACAAACAAGAAGTACCTGAAGGCATCATTCCTCTTACGTATATGTCTTCACAGAACAGTATTAAAAATGGATTAAATGTCCCTGTCTGGAATGTGAAATGTTACTTGTCTGTTTCATAAATAACCAAACCTTTAGAATTTGGCTGCCATAAGCTCCTTCCACACTTCTTCATCAGTTTACTAGTTAAAGAGGGTAACTGAAATTGACAGGGAGGATTTTACTCTGGTCTGAGTTTACCGACGTTGCAGTGTAAATGACTTGCTTCCCCTGTCTGTAAGCACTCCCATGCTTTTTTTTCAGTGATCCAACTGTGAGAAAGATCCAAAATCTATCCCCAGTGACTTCAGAAATGTTAGGTATAGAACAGCATATGTCTGCGCTTGCTGCACAAATGCACCAAGGTGGGAATTGCCTTGACGTCAAAAATTTCCCATCAATTGATAGTCATGTTGAAGTAAAAGATTCCATAGGAAGATTCTAGTTAATTTTATGCTGTTGGAATGTGCCAGTCAGTCAGGTGTAAGGTCACCAAACATGTCCTCCCATTTAGGGCTCTTTGTTGCCATGTTCAAGAAAGAAATGGTGCACCATAAAGTCAGTGTCTTAGCCTTGGAAGTGTTTCCTTTGTTGTCCCTTTCTTTCTCAAGGTATTTCAGAAGTAGAATCTGAAGAGCAGTGTTTTTTTCCCTGTGATATTGCAAGTACTGGCAGTGTGTGTGTTCTGCTTAGGTGAGACACGTGGAACTTGAGTGCGTGATTTTAATGGGTTTGATAGCGTGGGGTTTCTTTAAA